TTTATAGATCTGGAATCGAGAAATCACCAAATCAAGAAGAACAATGGCAAAGATTTGAAGGATATCGCTTCGGTTTTCAGCAGAACACTGAAGAAATTCTCACTCAAACATCCCAAGAATGTTGCCGGAAACGAAATTGACTCAAAACGCCGATCAGAAACTGGTCTTGGTCGTCGGTCATGTGATGTAGATCCTAGGTTGTCTCTCGATGCAGGTCGGGTTTCGTTTGAGGAGCCTAGAGCGTCATGGGACGGATGTTTGATCGGAAAGACGTATCCGAAGCTGATTCCACTGTCAGCTGTAACTGAAGATGCTAAAGACGATGAAGAAGAGAAGAACCCAGGAGGGACAGCTCAAACGAGGGATTACTACTTGGATTCACGGCGGAGAAGAAGCTTCGACCGATCATCGAGACATGGATTGCTCGAGGTTGATGAATTCAAAGCTATTTCTAATGCTAAGGTATCACCTGAAGCTGTTGGTTTGTTTCATGGAGCAAAGTTGCTTGTTACAGAGAGGGAACTAAGGGATTCGAATTGGTATTCCATCAAGAATTACAAACCTGAGAGCTTGGAGTTAGGTTCTAAAAGTGTTGGTTGTGTCGCTGCTAGTGAGGTGAAGCAGGATGGTTTTGGGTTGAAGAAGACTGGAAAGAAATGGCCTAAAGGATGGAATCTATGGGGATTGATTCAGAGGAAAACCGATACGAGCAAGAACGAAATCAAAACCGAGCAAAGTTTGAAACTTGGAGGAAATGCAATGGAGGGTTCTTTAGCTGAGTCTCTGTTGAAGCTTAGGAGAGTTGCTAAAGGAGAAAACAATGGTGATGTTAGCGAGAAACTCATTAGAAGCTACAGCGTTAGTGCGAGAAAGTCATATGATGGTATGTTTCATGGTGCTTCTATTGTTAATGGCTTTGAAGGTGGAAGAAGCTCATGTGATGATCTGTTCCATGGCTCTATTACCGGTGTTGAGACCGGAAGAAGAAGCTCGTGTGAAGACGGGTTGTTTCATGGCATTGAAGGCAAAAGGAATCATCTACTCCAGAGAGACGCCAAACTTGGTACTTACTCGCCGGACAATCTCAGAAATGGTATGGTTAGATTCTACTTGACGCCGTTAAGGACCCATGCGACAAGCAACTCAGGGAAAAGTAGGCTGATGAACTAGACTGATCTGTGATTGTCAGTTCATGTTGAATCATATATTGATACTGTGTTGTAATTAGCAATTACCATGTTTGTTACTTATTATCCCACTGTTCTATAGATATATGAACTAAAATCATAACCCCATTATGTTCTTTCTACTTTTTAAGTGTATCTCAATAATTCAATTACAATGGTGATTTTGTTGATAGAAAAAAAAAACTATTTTAGATATTGGCTCCGATCGATAACATCGAGAAGCTGAGTTACAATAACATTTGAGTGACTAATTTTGATGGGAGCATAAAGTTACATTCCAAAGGGTTTAATCCAAAACGTAAATGGAGCCAACAATAAAAGGACAAGAGTTACTTCCCAAGAAGAGCAAGAACATCAGTGGTAGTTTGGTACCGATGTTATGGTATTGTAGAACAGAAATCGGTCATACAAAAGTTCTGTACTTTCTGCTATAATCTGAAAATCCATAGATAGAAACACTTGTTTGAATGGTTACATCTCCAACTTAACCGATGCACAGCCTAAATTACACAAGTTTTTATGACAACTCTTTTCCAATTTATTCAAGATCATACCCTTTCTCTTGAAGCTCAGTCATGACCTCATTCCTCATTCTCAACCACAGTTTCTGAGCCTCTTTGTCAAACTTCTTCTTCTCCATTTCTTTCTGGTAATTATCGGCTTCACCTTCAGACTCAACGATCCCTTTAGGCCCAATTGCAGTGCCGATCATTCCTCCCTTTGCAACGAAATCCTCCATGGCCTCTGTATCACCTGGATAAGGAAATTCGCGCCGCTCATACAAATGAGCCAGTTCTCTCTCCTCCTTTGGTCTCGGCTTCAACGTCCACCAACCTAAAGGAGACGTTTCATTGTAAAGCCATGCCATGCCAAAGATTGTGTAGGTGCATAGCAATGCTTTTCCCACTTGTTTCCAAAAGAACATATCGTCACGACCTAATCCAACCTTCTTCAGGTACTTGTTTGGATCCATTGACTTCAAGGCCTCTATTCCTGTCACAAACAGATAACCAACCGAGTCAAAACGAGCTTAAAATGGTCTCGTTGAGGCATTTAATCGAACACCTTACGTGCCGCTACTAACATAGATCACACTAACAAGTAAAAGCCGAAACCTTTAACCAATACCCACAAAATCCGGAGATATACACGAATATAACACATCAAATTTATAGATCTATCTTCATGAATTTCAACGACGTATATAAGCCGAAACCTTTATTAGAGATCGGGAAAGAAGTAAACAAATGGTAGAAAAAATCTTACCCGTTTTAGCCTGTTGAAACTGTTTCCGAACCATCTTCTTCTCTGAAGAGCTAGGAGATACGATCAAGCTACTGTACGATGATCAACGAGCTAATGCTAGCGACATTGGCACTTGCAGAAATTATAGCCGACGAAACAAAGAAGACTCGATTTCAGACCAACACAGAAATGCTCAATTAAACGATACCGTTTACAAATTGTGGGCCTGTTGTTTTATTTTGGGCCTTATCATTTACTATGATAAATCAAAATCGATCACAAAATTTGGTTTTGGACGTTGGGGGATTGTTTGTTTAGCAGCAATGAGCTTAATACGGTGTCATTTTCTCTGGTGACTAGCATCCAATTTATTAAATTAATTGAATTAGCTGTGAATAATCACTGTCTTTTTGTTTGTTTTCTTTTGAAATTGAATAAATTGGATTAGATGAGCTGTTATATAACTACCAAGAAGTAGTTTTTTAGCTTTACCTTTTCAAATGAACTCTAAACAAGTTGTCAATGACCAATACTGTAATCTACTTATATCCCTAACTAATTATAAATAAATATTTTTATAGAAAGGTTTTAGATAAAGTCAATTAAAAAGATATCGAGTCTAAGTAAATCCAAACACAATAAAGTGTACAAAATTACATCCAAATAAATTCATTTAGTTTCATACAGTTGGAAACGTAATAAGACTTTTGTACAATACCTAAACTTTTATATTTCTAAGTTGTATATAAAATCTATATGTTTTAGAAGCATGTATTAATTATAACAAAAAAAAAATAGGTTAGATCAAGTTTAGTTGTTACTTGAATTGGTCTAAAAGTATTTTTAATTAATTAGCTTGTAAGAAGATATATATACTTTGTTATAAAGTCAAAACACGATGCGTCCATAATATATTGTCTATCTGCATTTTAGATAATATCTTATGGGTCAAACCGTAACACCAATCATTCCTAACTATAAAATAACTCGGATGATTTTGAAAATCTAAAAAAACAAAACTCCTATGAACATTAATAATTTTGAAATCAATTATAAACTTACAAATCTCAAGTCTCCCCCATTCGATAAGCTTTAAGCCCTCCTTGTTAGAGAAATCAAGTTATATTGGATAAATGCATTTAGTTACTCAATTCACAAGATGGATGTTTGAAAGACTTAAAAGCAAACGAAAAAAATTATAGTATGATAGCTCCACAAAAATTAATATTATTTATAGATTCAGCGCGCGCACACATATATATATATATATGAATTAACTTTATTAATTACACCCCAAAGATAACTAGCGAGGTAAAAGAGCAAGTGTGGGTGAGTTTAGTTAGATGGAGATCACCTAAGCACTTTTGACCTGTAACATTTCATCTCTTCTTCTTTCTTCTTCCGGTGCGTTCTCTTTAACGACTTTTCTTCAACCTAACAAGCAAAAACGACATCGTATCTAGTTTTTGCATACCACAGCTAGCTTTCCTCTATAGCTCACACACAGTCACGTACATATGTATTATATATATACACACATGCACTAATTAGTACCTTAAGAAACACCAAGACACAGGAAGATTTCGAAACTAATGGAGATTTCGGGACGATTTTGTGTCTACGTCCTAACGCTTTTGGTGGTATACTTTTTGTCGCCGATCACCGTACACTCAATGATCCGACATTACAAATTTAATGTAAGTTCTCTCTATATATATGCATGTGTAAGTGCATATGCATGTACACTCGCAAAATGGTTCGTCACTCGTAAAAAAAAAAGCAAGAAGCTATATCATTACTAAATCAAAACCATTGAGTGGATTATTATATATCTTTCTATATTATGTGAGGTTTTAACTTATTTCCAATTTGAAATCCATAACAATTATGATTTGCGGTTTGCATCTTGATTCATGCATATGTACTGACCATTGGATTTAAATGTGTGCACGGTCAGGTGGTTATGACGAACACCACGAAGCTTTGCTCGTCGAAGCCTATCGTCACCGTCAATGGCCAGTTTCCAGGTCCCACCATTGTTGCAAGAGAAGATGATACCGTTTTGATCAAAGTAGTGAATCACGTCAAGTACAACGTCTCCATCCATTGGTGAGCAACCTCAAACAAACCTTTTTAGACATTGGTGAAAGTGAACCTTGAATTTCCATCTCTTTCTTCAAGTCAACCTCATAATTTTAACAAGAGGAATTCCTTAGAATACTACATTTTGAAGTTTTGTTTTCAAAAATATATACCATCATTTTTTAAATATTCCAAAAATACCATCATTTATTGAATGTTCCAAAAATACTACAAACACCAAAATTGATTTTCAAATATTTGTAATTTAAATTATCGAGTTTGTGTATGAAGTGTAAGGTTTAGTTTTGAATGTTCAAAGTTAATTTTAGTTTTATGGTATTTTTGGACATTCAACAAATAATGGTATTTTTGAAATATTTAAAAAATGATCAATATTGAAAATGATGGTATTTTTGAAAATCAAACTTAAAGTGTGGTATTTTTAGAATGCCCTTTTAAACCATGGTATAACGGTAAACAACTAGATAATTAACAATAACGTACGGAATAAATTATAATAACCAGTCTATAATGGTTTGTGCAATGTTGTATCCCGACGAAACGAAACGGATGCGTATATGATCTTTAAACGGTAGTGTACTAGTGTATGTGTATGCTTCGTATACGCGATCGATATAATTTATTTGATACTAAATGTAAAAATAAAATGTTTTTCATTTTTGGTTCTTCATACATATTTAAAAAAAAAAAAAATTTGTAATATCCATAACAAATACTGTCTTTTATCTTTCTAACTAAAACTTTTGAGACTATATATACATATATTAGTAAAGTTGTAAGCAAAAGTATCTATAGTCTCTCTACAAATGTTTGCGTACACGTACGTCTAAGTGTTAATTTGTTGTCCGACTAGCGTAAAATATATTCTAAAAATGTAATAACGAAATTTCTTACATGTATATATATAGGCACGGAATAAGGCAATTGAGGACAGGGTGGGCAGATGGACCGGCTTACATAACACAATGTCCTATCCAGCCAGGACATAATTATATTTACAATTTTACATTGACGGGTCAACGAGGAACCCTATGGTGGCATGCTCACATCTTGTGGCTCCGTGCTACGGTGCACGGGGCCATTGTGATCTTGCCTAAGCTCGGTGTCCCATACCCTTTCCCTAAGCCTTACAAAGAGAAAACCATTATTCTTGGTGAGCTACCCCCAAATTAACCCAAACACCCATGTCTTTTAACCTGTCAGTGATTCTCACCAGAGTTACAATTATTTGATAATATAGGTGAATGGTGGAAATCGGACGTAGAAGAACTTATAAACGAGGCTTCAAATATTGGAACGGCTCCTATCGCTTCTGATTCACATACCATCAATGGTCATTCAGGCCCCGTCTCCAATTGTCCTTCTCAAAGTAATTATTTACCAGCTTACGTAAATTAATTACACATGTTCTGAAAATTATTATGAATGGCAGCGGACGGAACGTACCAAAAACGATAATGCAGTTTTGCACTATGTTTTTTGGGACACTCCATCTACTTTACTCAAAATGGCATATGTTTTTCGGAACCTTAATATTTTTTTTACATAAAATTTATGTTTTTGTTTCACTTGTGTAGGTGGTTATGGTTTACCAGTGAGACCAGGAAAGACATATATGTTACGGATCATCAACGCAGCCTTAAACGAAGAACTCTTCTTTAAAATTGCTGGTCACGAGTTAACCGTTGTGGAAGTTGACGCTGTTTATACTAAACCGTTTAAAACCGACACAGTCCTTATCGCTCCGGGACAGACTACTAACGTTCTCTTAACAGCAAACGCAAACGCTGGTTCCAAATACATGGTCGCGGCTACAACGTTTATGGATGCTCCAATCTCATTCGACAACGTTACTGCTACCGCCATTCTCCACTACATCGGCCACACCGTCTCCCAATCGAGAAAAACAGTTCTTGCATCGCTTCCACCGCAAAACGCAACGTGGGTTGCGACCAAATTCACTAGATCTCTCAGGAGCTTGAACTCACGCGAGTATCCGACGAGGGTTCCGACCAAAGTTGACCACTCTTTGTTTTTCACGGTTAGTCTTGGCCTTAACCCTTGTCCGAGCTGCAACAACGGTATTCGGTTAGTGGCTGGAATAAACAACGTAACGTTTACCATGCCGAAAACCGCTCTTCTCCAAGCTCATTTCTTTAACATTTCTAACGTATTTACCGACGATTTCCCGGCCAAACCTTCGAATCCGTATAACTATACGGCACCAGTAAATCGAAGCGTTAATGCGGCGACGATGAAAGGTACAAAGCTTTACCGGCTTCCATACAATGCGACCGTGCAAATAGTTCTACAAAACACAGCGATGGTTTTGTCCGAAAACCATCCGTTTCATCTTCACGGTTTCAATTTCTTCGAAGTTGGTAGAGGTTTAGGAAATTTTAACCAAAAAAAGGATCCGAAAAAATTCAATTTGGTTGATCCGGTAGAGAGAAACACCGTTGGAGTTCCAGCTGGTGGTTGGACTGCCATTAGATTCATCGCCGATAATCCAGGTACTTTTATAATCAAAATAACAACTTAAACATGCATATATAATACTTCTAATTTCTAATATATAATACTTCTAACTTTCGTTATAGAAGTAAAAGTTGTTAATTAGTCTTGTTTATAGGTTATAAAACATTACTTTTGTCAAACAGTTAGTTAGTCTTTTTCAATCATGACTTTGTTATTGCTTTTGGTATTTATATTTCTTGTAGCGAATTATCGTATCTGAATATTCTCGGTCCAACTTGCTGAAGTTTTGTTTTTTGTGTGTAATTGATTTGTTACATAAAAGGGGTATGGTTCATGCATTGTCACTTGGAAATCCATACAACTTGGGGATTAAAGATGGCTTTTGTCGTCGACAATGGTCACGGCCCTGACCAATCACTGCTTCCTCCACCCGCCGATCTTCCCAAATGTTAGG